CAGTGTTAAAGGGTGCACTGATACATGCATTGCACAAATGAGACTTGACAGAGAGAGAGACATGGAAAGTCAATGCTGACAGTTTCTTCTGTGTTTCACTGCTGTCTGGACTCCTCACATTTTTTCCTGCAAGTTGCCTGCATGTAGTTTCAGTGGAGAAGCTCTTCAGCTTTCAACCTTCCTCCTGCCCTAAGTAATCTCATTTCTGGGATTCCAGCAAGGCCATCATACTAAATGGATTATAAAACTTATTTGCTCCTTAAGCTCAGCAGGAATAATGTTGCCCCTGTAAGAGCTCACACCAGTTTGAGTAACATTATCTTGGGCCTATATAAGTGTTGGTCACCAGAACCTGGCCCCAGATTTGGCCCCAGAGTGTGCTGAGCTATCAAGTCATCTGGAATATGAGTCTCATTTTCTGAGCAGTGCAATTTTCTCAACAATGATGTTATCTTTGTTCCTCAGTTTCTGGCAGCAGAGCTGTTCACACATGCTATTAGCAGATGGCAGAAGACGTATGTGGAATTTGCTCTCAGAACATTTCTTCCATTCTTCCTCCACGACCTAAGATGAGCAAATTCAAGCTGAAAGCATGTACTAACTACAGCCCTTTTCCAAACAGAGTTAAAAGCAGGCTCCAGTAGAAACCTCTCAAATATTTCAGTGTCTCTGCCATAGTTTAACTACTCAGCACATATCCTTAGTCAGAAATGCAGGGTATTTCTGTAAAGCCATACACTCCTCAGTGCCCTTATGTCAGCTGCTTTTAGGGATCAGCTGTTAACAAGGAGCAGGCAGTGCAGGAAGGCTGAAAACTTCCACACTGTCTCTGGTAAGTTGAGGCATCCATCTGAGGCCACTGCTAATTGCCATAGGCTTGTTAGAGCTTGGGGCAGACCAAGCTGGTGTAGACCAAGCTGAACACATACATTTAAGGATCAGGCAAACAAATTGCCAGAACAGGCATGAATTCGGGAGCATGGACACGTGCACATTGTTCAGCCTTCAAGCGAAGGAAGCATGAGCCTGTATTTATGCTACAATGAGCTGAAACTAACCTGGCCTTCCAGCGCCAGTGGAGCTGCTGTCAGAGGGAGTCTGGAAGTTGTTGTTGTAACCATGTGTTTGAGCGCTTTCCTGAATCACCACTCACTTTTGATCTGGATGTCTTGCTTAGGAAAATAAATGGCTTTTTGTAAAATCTTCTTATTCAGGGATTCTTATTTAAAGCACAGAGATTTTTTCTGCCTCCCTAAACTGAGGCAAATCCTCCTCAGAGTTGTTCCTGAGCTTGATGTAAAACAAGCAGAAAGACCACCGCTTTGAGACTGCCTCAACCTGCAGACTTTACATGAGCACTTATTTTTCATTTGTTCTGTTTTGTCCCTGAAGGACGATTTTATTTCATGAGCTTGTGCTGTAAAATAACAGAACATTTCCAAAGTCCCAAAATTCTGTGGAAACACTACACTAATGGTTGGAATCCAAAATTAAACTTGGCATGTTGACCCCACATAGTGCCAAGTGGAGTCATCTCACATCAACAAGAAACGTGTGATAGTTTCAGTCTTTTTGGATAGCTGCGCTCAGAGGGCCGCTCCACAGGTCACTGTGTCTGTGCTCACCTGCCACCATCGACTTCTGCTTCCCATGGAGGCATCACTCACAGCCATGAACTGCCTCCTGGAGGTGGGTGCCTCAGCCTACAAGCAACATCCTCTGGCCCAGTGACCACAGGTTAGACAGAGCTCATCTATCTAATCAGATTAGATTAGGGATCTAATTAAGACTCTGCCTGGAGGGCCTTGTGTCCCACACCTTGCTCACTCCAGTCATGTCTCAGTACCAAGGCAAGAAGCTGTGCAGCACACAGACTCTGGCTGTGGGTGCTACACCTCTCAGCACAGCATCACTGGGAGCACCACTGCCACCGGGTGTGGAAGTCCCAGGCAATGCCATCAGTAGCCCTGGGGCAGCACCAAGGGTCTTCCTGCTGCCTCCAGCCCTGTGACAGCTTCAACAGCTGTGCAAAGCGGTGTCTGCTGTGGTGACTGATTCCTTCCTCTGGGGAGTGCAAACCAGCCATGCCCAGAAGTCCTTGGCCCTCCCAGCCACAGGAGAAATGGGATCCCAGGTTTTCCCGTGTTCCACCTGAGCACTGCAAGTACCAGGTTAACAAACCACAGCATCACCCTATTGCTGCAGGTCTGTAGCACCAGGCTGTCTCACCCCAGCAGAGAGATGCAGAGAAGAGCCAAGAGCATAAGTCCCAACAGGAACAGGGCTGGGCAACTCAGAGCACACCATGGCATGTGCTGGCTGCTGCAGGTGCCATGCTGGCAGGTGCTATGCTCACAGGGCAACTTCACGCCTATCTGCAGTTCCAAGTGCCAGTGCCATGCCTTGGAGTATGAGCCCACTTGTCCTTAGTGACCCATGGTTAAAATACCCAAGGGAAAAATTCAACAATCAGATACACACTGCGGCACATAGTTGGACACAGTCAAAACCTGTCTTCAAAGGACTTCTCAGGCAGAACAGGCTATGATGCCCCATGGATACTGGAGGCTACTGCTCTTTTGTAACACAAGGTTGAAAGACTGCAGTGTTCAAAACCTCATTTTGTTACCTGTCTGCATGTAGAGTTTTGATTTTCAAGCCACAGTTCCAAATGTGAAATCTGAATATTTTATTTACATAAAGATACTTGATCAAATAATGAAAGACTGCTGCAGTGGCACAATTATCATCACACTGATGCTCTTGTCTTTCTACCTTGTCTCAGAGAATTTGTTCCTTTTGTTAAGTACTGCAGACAGGAGGGGTACTAACTGCTTGCTTTTATTCATGAAAGTCTATAGGTCCTGATTATTTAAAATAATTTTCTTCCATATAAATGTACTTATTGCACACTATAATCTCTCATCAAAGATGGAAATCCAGTTCCCCAGGTTCATGATGTCTTCCCATTTTCAGGAGTTGCTGTTTTCACATTGCACAAAGGCCTGTCTCCCTGCACAGCCATGCAATTCTGCTGGCAGTTCAGAGCAGAGGGGCAGCATTTAAAATGCTGCTTTGTGTCTCTGCCAATACTAAACTATTGAAGTCATACTTCTGTGTGCACCTGGTTATATCTTCTACTGAAAAGAGTGCATGGCAGAGGCACTTCTGTGCCAAACATAGAATTTATTTCCTTAAAAAAAAAGTGTTTTGCCTAAAGCCTAATAGAGATTGCAGCCCTAGATAACTCACTCGCTTTGTTCCAGTGTCAGAAGCATGCAGTGGAAAGAGCTGAAACTCTGCAGAGAGAGAATGGCTGGACCCTGGGTGAACACTGGCAGCCAAGTGACCTCCTGTGCACAAGACAACCAAGGGCAGAAGGAAAGAAAGGCACTGGGGGAAAATAAGGTGAGGTTTTATTATATTTTTGTTGTACTTGTGGGAAAAAAAAAGAATTTCCCATCGGGGTAAGAAAGCAGAGTATGATGTATCCTACGATTCCTACCCAACTCCATGAAACAGCTTACACCCAGTGCTGTTGATGCTTCAGATCTCTCCTATGTTACTTTCTTTTGAAGCTCAAAGCCGAAAAGCTACTTTGAGCTGGTTACACTTACCTGACCTTTCCTTCCCGCAAAGTAAACACTATCAGTAGAATTCCCTTGCATATTTCTCTCCTTCCTGAAGTTTCTTTTCTCATTTGCCCTCCTCTGTATAATCAAACCCCTTTTCTCACATGGGTGAACCTAGAAAATAATTTAGAGTGGGAACCACATGAACCAGCTCAGTGAACATCAGGTAATTGGGTCTTAGAGGCCTTTTTGAAGGTCAAATATTTCTGGGCAATTTTTCCAGCTACTTTCTTTGTTAAATGAAAGCCCAGGAAAAGAACAAGGTGGCTTTGTAAAAGTCTCTAACTCACTTGCCCCATGAACCTGCCCGTCCCATATCCTTGCATGATTTCCTTCTACATTTTCTTTCCAAGACACCCATTTTCACAAGTCACCTGCTTGTGCAAAATCTGTATTGCTCACCATTGCCCTGAGAGCTGCTGAGATTTTCAAACACACTTCTCAGTAGATTCTTACACTTCTAAGTCACTTATGAGATTCCCCCCCCCCAAAAAAAAAAAAAAGGCTTACTTTTCATTTGTGTCATGGTATGAAAAACAACCTAAAAATGATCTCTGACACACAGACAGACACACAGACAGGCAAACAGGAGTGCTTGTGAACCTGGATACCTGTGGTTTTCCCTTCCGTGTGATTTCTCCGATGTTAAGGGTTATAGGTGATTCCACACTGCAGCTTTTTCTTTCAGGCATTGTAAATTTGAGTATTACCACTATCAAACTAATAAACTTTGTGATAATAAATAAGAAACTAAGGCATTATTTAAATGAACTGACAAGTGTTACAGCCACAAGATGGTCACATAATCCTAACTTTCATACAAAACTAGACAAAGAACATCAAACAAAATTAAAGAAACTTTACATTCTTCTGTCATATGTGCAATTTCAACTACAAAAGTAAATAACTGTTTTATACTAAGAATGGAAGCACAGGGCAGCTTTGCTAGATAAAATTTATATTTTAGGAGATATTTTAATAAACTGGACTTGTTTTCTGAAAAACAACTTGCAAGCAAGAACAGAACAATGCCACTAGGCTGTAAATTTATTAAAGCAAAAGCTTTTTTAAATTGCAAACTCTAGCACAAAGAGGCCCTGGTTTGTCCTCTTAGGAATGTAATACCAATAAATAACAACGCAGTGAGTTCCCAATCCCAAATTCTTTACCGTTGCTCCAGACACTACAGAAGTTATGCAGAGTTTGCATTGCACAGGATTCCTTTCCTGCACATAACTGTGAATGTGCACAAGTATTTCAAGACTTTGGACAGCAATCGTTACACTGACCCAAATATGATGGCAGTTCTGGTCAGATACATGCATAGAGATGCACATTTTAATTCAGGAAAACATGAAAACTCACAAATATATTTGACAAAGTAATTTTAATGCAACGCAAGTGCATTTACTGCTAACCCCCAGTACAGCTGCATTAGGGAGCACTTTGGCTGCTGCAGGTCAACTGAGAAGAGCTGCACACTGTGCCAGGCACCAGAAGCACTCCATGAGAGCTGAGCTCCATTTTCCACTGGGCACGGAACCCCAGCTGGCACAAACCTGTTTTCCTTTGTGGACTCATTCCCCATGGATGCAGTGCTGGGGGACATGGGACCATCCACCTGACCCTCCCCACTGCTCCTCCAAAAGTCTCCCACCTCCCCTGTGTTTGCTGCTACAAGGTCCACATCCTCCTGGCAAGGCAAGCCTTATCCCACTCAGCCCAGTCACGGCTTTGGACCCACTAGTTTCTAGTGTGGTGGTCCACTCCTGCCGGAGAGTTAAAACTGTGTTTAAAATACATAAATACCAGAAAAACCCCGTACCCCATTTAAAGATTAAGTTCAGGATCATGTGCTTGATTCTGCTCACGAGAGCTTTTGCAAGAATTAACAAAAAATAAAGAAGCTGCAGAATGTCCTCACAAACAAGTAAGGAAAAGGAAAGCAGTTACCGCCTCACTAAAACGTGTCTGGATTAGGCTGAGTGACGCCAAACTCTGGATGAAGCCAAACGAAGCCCAGCTCTAGGGGCTGTCAGAGCTGTTTGCCTCATTGATGGCTCACACAAAAGCTCTTCTAAAGCTTTATCCCAAAGGAATGCAGCGTCCAGCAAGGACTGATAGTGATCGGAGTGATGAAGTCCGGCAGGCTTGTGCTCCCAGGGAACAATGGGCTTTAACTGAATGCTGGGAAAAAGTCCCTCACCAGTACAGCAAGGGCAGAGCCCAGTAAGGTGATTGATACTGTTGGCTGAGAGAAAATGAAAAGAGCAGATTCAAGGTTGGAAGAAATCTCCTCTTCAGTAGCAACATGCTATTGACCAAGAATTAAACTACTCATTTCACCATGTTTTCTAGGAGGACGCTGCTGAGGTACCTCTGAAGCATGAGGAGTATTGACACCTCTCCTCTGAAGCTCCATGAGGCTTTCTGTGTGCTCCAGATGATTAATGCTGGCTAGTATCTATGTGGCTAAGTGATGAGAAAAAGTTACTTGCTGTCATCCAAACCTGTTGTTGCTGCTCTTCCTGGGTGTGGAGTCATAAAGGTGTCTTATCAGCCATACTGGGGAAAGTAGTCATCTGCCACACACCTGATCAAATCTAGAAAACCAGCATTTTTTTGCTACTGTTGCTCCAGATCTGGGTTGAAGATAAAACTCATTGGTTTTCAGGGCATTTGATGCTTGCTAGGCATATTTGCTGGCTTTGGAGTAGCTGTCAGAGACAAAATGACAGGAAAAACTTAAGGATATCCTTTGGAGCCATGTACAAAATAAAAGCAAATCAAGATAAAGTGTAGCAGTGCACTGCTCCTTCCCTCTCCTGCCTATGGCCTCGGACTGTGGAGAGCTGTTGATTATTTCTAGAGCTTCCACAAGAAGTAATTTTTGCAAGCTGTTGTTATTGGAAAAAGATCTGCACCTCTACTGGGAAAATGCTGCACAAATCAAGATGATGAAAGTGACTCCTCTGTATGGAGCTCTTCTGGAGAACACAGACAGCCCCAGGATCCAGAAGCTGTTGAAGACACAGGGACACAATTTGTCCAAGTTTTATCCAGCCCAACAGTATGTCCAATAGCTGTCATTATCAGCTCCTCAGTGCAAGGCAACTGAAGTACTTGGGGCTGACTGTATCATCTGAACCACACTCTTGCAGGCTCTTTCAAAGATTGCCAGTAGAGGCATCAGACCTCAAAATCATTTCCAGTCTTCTGGAAAGTATTTGCTATTCCAAACATTTTGCAGACCATAAAGGAACATAAACGATAATTACACAAACACAGTTCTCAAATAGATTGTTTGGTAAAAGAGCTTGACATTAATCAGTAGGTCAACGGATTACCTCTGAAGCCTTTCACAAGGCTTAGCTACACCTGCTGACTTCCATTTCTCAGCCTCAGTGCTGACTTACAAAGATTTGCACTGCAGTTAGTTGAGTGGTGCAAGCTTCACATTCTTCTAGAACTCTTCAGCAGAAAAAAAGCTAGGTTTTGTAGGTTTGTTATTCAGCTTACTGATTCACTGCTCCTCGGCTGACAGCTGAAGTGGAGATGGATCCTCCTGCTCATCTGATGAAGTGCGCTCCTCCTGAAAGAAGGTCCTCTCTGGATGTCTCCATAGCAGGCACAGCCACTGGGATCCACAGCATTTCAGAGCTGTGCCTCCCCCAGCACTCCTTCTGCACTGCAGCCATCATCTGGGCTGCTCAGTGGTGCACACAGCTAAGCTGCTCCCTGTACATGTGCTGGCTGATGCAATCAGCATCAGCCCAAAGACAATTTCTGGGAAGTCCCATCTGAGACATTTAAGGAAAAGACTTAATTAATAGCTTTCATAGACACAAAAATAATGCTACAGATACCAACATACGGGTGACCCATCTTGCCCCACGCAATAGTCACAGTAACACATGCTGCTACTCCACAAAACCTACCAGCTTCAAAGCTGTGCACTTTGCAGGGCTGGGAAGATCCTTGGGTGTCAAAATAGATGGTGGATGAACTAGAACTGCTTGACTCCATAAAGGGGCTGCAGGTGAGAGAGTCTGAGGCAGAATGAGACATTTTCAGGGTGCTTTTGCCAACAGGCATGTTCCAAGGAAAGGGACCCGGTGCTCCTAGGCTTAGGGAGTGCTGAAGATACTTGCCTATCAGTATTAGGAGGGCAGCTCAAGGAATGCTCACTAAATCTGGTCCTCCTCTTTTGTCATTGACATTGGGCTTGCCACTCAGTGCTGCAGCCAACTTCCCTTCTCCCCTTGCTTTTGCTGCTGGGCTGTGGCAAGGAACACAGGCAAAATGACATTTGCAGCCTGCAACTGCAACAACATTTTGCAGTTGCAGGAAGAATCACCAGCCTTCTCTCATGGTGACTGGGATGGGAAAACCCTAGCTGAGGTAGGTTTGTGTGAGATGGAGTGTCCCCCAAGTGACAGTAACACACAGTGCAGCACACTTGCCAGCTGTAAGTAGTGCCCTGACGCCTATGACTACAAGCTGTGGGAAGAAGAAACCGCTCAGGCACGCACTGCACACTGCTCACTGTCATTCACACTGAGCAGTGTACACATTCACATTATCTATCCTCCACTCGCAACATTCCACAGAAATACATGCTCTTTAAGAAACAAGAAAAAGTATGTTAATTCTAATTATTTCTAAGATTATAGCTGTCCATCACATGCACACACACAGAGTTTTCTCTACTGAAGTGCAAACATAATGTCTTTTAATCACTCCTTTCTGCACAGTTGAAAAGGTTAAAAAGGTTAAAAACCTGCTGTTTGATGTACCGTACTCTCTTTCTTTCATGCCCACTTTGATTTCTTGATGCAAGTCAAGGTGCACTCCCACTGCGTTTATCTCGTACATGCGTTTGGATGAAATATTTCATAACGTGCACATAGAGATCTACTTTGAGTAAATATGAAATTTTATAATTACAAGAAATAGAGACCAAACCATTTCAGTATTCAGAGACTACAGACATGTTGTTTGTTCCCATTAACAGCAGTCTAAAACTTTAAAATACATTGTCTAACACTTGCAATGCTTATATAACATATATTCGGCATCTATCAAAGACACACTGTCCTTTAAAATAACTTCTGGTTACTGTATGTGTTAGAAAACTGGATTAAATCACATAATTTGAAAAATGGTGGGACTAAAATAATGTCTGTATCAACACCGTTACAAGAGCATGGCATCTAGACACTAGATATCAGCTTGTATTCCTCCCTCCCACAAAACATCTTTTGTACATTACTTAGCGGTCTGGGGTTGCAAAGTAGCCCAAGCTAGAGGAGGTCCAGTGGCATCTGCCCTAGGTGCACCAAGGCAAGCAAGCACCTTGGGGTAACCCAGGGGCTGGGATGGCTTTGGCCAGCAAGACAGGAGCCTGTTTTTAGTAGGGGCAGACCTCTCCCTCTGACAGCAACCCTGAACTGGCACCATCTGGCAAACATGTGTTCCCTATATAAGTATGGATATCTTTAATGAATGAAACATTGATTTCTTCTGCTGGTGAGGATGCCAGGAGTTCTATTTAATATCGGTTAATGAGATTAACTGATATTAGAGAAGCAGCTAAAATAATGATTTTAGCTGCTTCCTTATGGAAGGAGAACAAAGGAACAAGCTGACTGAAGACGGAGGGTTCCTGTAGGAAGAGCAGCAGCAGACCCCCTGGATTTACTGCTGACCAGAGACCCTGGCTCAGAGTGGAAAGAGAATTAATTAGGATTAAAGGGAAGTAACTGGCTTAGTATAATATGACAGCTGCACCAAAGAGAATGTCACATTTTCTAGCTGCAATCCCTACTGTCAGATCTCTGTGTTATATTTTGGGTACTGGCCAAATCATGCTGGCTGCAGGATATTCTCTGTTACTGTAAGTCACTGGAGGGGAGCAGAATTGTCTATTTCTAAGCCACCAAGTCCCTTGTATTAATCTTTACTCCCTCTTTGTTTTAGTATTCTGCTTTCTATTTTTACCTTGCATATTTTGAAGCAGGTCTGGAGACCTGAAGAAGGCAGGTCATCCATTCTCCAGAAAAATCAATGGCCATGCCTGTGGTTTGTTTTGTATCTACTTCTTTCTTCCTTTCTTCATGTATGGGTTTTCTTATAATGCAGACTAGAAAATATACTCCAACAACAAAACAGCAGACCTGAAATGAAAAGCAAAGGATAAATCACATACCAGTAGTAGAAAAGAACAAAAGGGGTGATACGTTTAGTGCAATTTTGCCTAGAATTTCAGTTGCATCTGTGCTTCTTTAAGATTACCAAGGTACATTTGAAAAAGAAAGTAAAGGATTTGTGAATGACAGACACAAATCATAACAGCACAGTTGCCAGAGAGAGACGAGCAATACTTGCTGCATACCTTCATTCTCCATCAGTCAGGCTCTCTGCCATACTTACAGTCAGTGGTACCATATTCAGCCAGGAAAATGGCTCACTCAATAAAAAGGGCGGTAAAACTTGGCAGCACATAAATAAGGCGGTCATATACTTCTCTGTGTTATTTCTGAACATGTGATCTTTACAAGACTTGAAACATGGGCTAATAGGAAAATTGTAATTTTCCATTAATATGACCTTTAGGAGTGTTTGCATTATTCATGAATCCGAATAGAAGTCCACAGGACCCCCTCCAGGTACTCTTCTGAAGGGACTAAGCCTGGCTGGCTGCCTCCTCCCTGAAATGACGGAACAGCTCAGGTGCTGCAGGGCACAGGCTGCTTTGCTCTTGCTCTGCATGTTGCTGCTGGAGCACTTGTGCCCTGGGCCTGACCATTCACCCTGCTTCACTCCTCCAGGTCTCCTCAGAAGGAACCTGATCTGGGCAAAACATTTTACACTTCCTACAGCTCTCCTGGTCTGTGAACTCAGACACAGTGGTCTACATGCCACTCTCCCCTACCATCCCTGGGAGAGCCGGCAGCACCAGGAAAACTCCCTTCAGTTTGTCCTGATCCCTTTCTGCTTTCTACAGGGGTAGGGAGAGCAAGAAAAAGAGGTGAATTCAGAGGAAGAACAGCTATGAGAGCAGTCCTGAAGCCATCTCCCCTTGCAGACAGCATGTGGATCTGTGCTGTTCCCCCACCTTCCCTGGCACTGTCCTGGGATGTTCCTCCAACAGTGTCTTGTGGGCAGGTTTGCAATGAAGACCTGGAACAGGCAGTTGCTGCTCCCAAGGAGCTGCCTGCCATACATGTGTATCCAGTATGGAGTGGTATTTTGTACACTATCTTTCTTCACCATTTATTTTCCCAGCTGTTGCTGCTGGACACACACTGCAGGGACAGAAAGCCAGCAGAGGACTGCAGAGAAGAAAACACCCTTGCCAACTGTGATCAGTAGTCTCAGAGCCCTTTTCCTGGGGAATGGTTCTGCAGGATGTGCTTTGGAACAAACTTTGTGTGGTTTCAAGCAATACAGATCAAAGTGATATTCTCCTCTAAGAAGAAAAACACTAACCAACAGTGATGGTTTCCTCAAAGTAGCAAAGGTACAAAGTGGAGCATAGGTGAAGAGAAAGGAAGAAATATCTTCGGAAAAAAGCTCCAGGGCTGCTGGCAGTATGAAATGTACAACCCTGAACCTGGGCAGTGCACAAACAAACTGTACTCTGGAAAGGCAAAATATGAAAGAGAGAGAATATGTTAAGAAGCATCTCTGAGCAGTAGTGGAGCCTACTCCTACCAGGAACTGCCAACAACACCAGGCAGGTAACTTGTCTGCTCATCCATCCCAATAGACAAGGGGAAGAAAAAAAGAAAAAGAAAAGCAAAGCACATTTTCCAGGGAGCAAGGAGCAGCAGTGTAGAAAACTTAGGACTGTAGCACAGACAGTTTCTCTTCCCTGAGTGTTTTTTACTTCTACCAGATTTGCTGGTGGTGGGTGCTCACATTGTGACAGCAATAACAGGTCAAAGCACGCCCTTTGCTCAAGATAACTGAACTCAACCGTTTACAAGTTTCCCTGTGTAAAATCCAGCAGTGTGCTGTGGGTGTACAGTCTTCCCTCCCAGTGCTGAAGGGACATGGGTCCTCCCTGCCCAGCCATGTCTACAGATAGATTTAGATCAACCTCTGTCATCTGCCTGCACAAGTCATGCATTCCTGCTGAGGATTTATTTTAGACACCTGGCAATCCCTCCAGAGAGAAGTGAATTACTGCACAGGGCATGCACAGTGGGACAGCAGTACCCAACACCAAGATGCCTGTATCCTTTCCAGCTGCCTCACTCCCTGAGCTGAAATCGAGAGCCTTGACTTGACTCTGGGCTGAGCAGATCACCATAGGAGACGTGCAGAACGACTCCAGCACTGAATAGTACCAGACAAAACAAGGCAATGAGAAGAGGTAGTGACATGCAGGACAGAAGGGGGATAGTATGGGCAGGGTGGGGAGAGGAATTATTTCAGAGCTGGAGCTAATTTTGTAGAATCTGGCTGTTAAACAAAGAACCACAGTGTTTTTTAAATTCTGCTTATTGAATTAAGTCACTCTCCTGCCAACTGGATTACTTCAGCTGGCTGAACAATCTGACACCTCCTTATAGAAAAGAATTTACTAACATGACCAACTCAGTGTGACGGCATACCTAACCATCCCCTTCGCTGCGCTCTCGGGGAAAAGCAGGAACTACAGCTGAAAACAAAGCCCTTTTATGGGAAGCTTCCACAGAATTCAGAAAAGACTTGAAATAGAAATCAAAAGAAAACTCAAAGCATTTCTATTTTGAAGCCTAATAGAATCAAGGATTGGTACTTACATTCTAGTACTTTTAATGGATTTGTGTAATGTACAAAACATATAATCCTTTGCATTAAAATTTAAAAAGAAATAATTTGATTATTACATATTAGTAGATGCTTTTGGAGCATCAGATTTCACCTTGGCTTCTGAGAAAGCTGTTTATAGGAACACTCAAAATCAGGCTCTGCAGTCAGGTAAACAGCCTCCCTTCACCTTCTGTGTTAGCGAGTATTGCACGGCCAGCATGGCTGGATGTTCCTGTTGCTATCTGCTCCTGCTGCAGCGGCACTCTTAGAGCTGAACTGAGCTCCGGGATCAGTTCTGTATGGCGCTGGGTATGATTTTTGTACCCTCAGAGGCAGTCCCTGACCCAAACAAGTCTGCTGAGGAGAAGGGAAGTTTGCCTGTGTTTTATATACGGGAGAAGATGCAGAAAGATTATCAACGTCACCAAAGCAACATTGCTGGAAAGCTTTTTTTAGGATGCCAAAGCAGTGGCTTAACCCGAAGACACACATCTGCTAAAAGTAAGTAGACAGCTACTGAACTTCACCTTTACTAACTTCTTTACTGTTACAATTTAATTACTGTGCACTCTAAATACCTGGTATAAGCCATTCTCTCCCAAAACTCCCCTGCAGACATGCTTCAGCTCTCCTTACAGCATAGGAGTTGTGACAGTGGAACAAACGCAAGAACAGAGAGTTTTCGGAAGTTATGGGCACGCTCTGGCTCCTTCTGTGGTACCTCTGAGGCATCACAACTTCTTTACATCCAGCAGAGGTAAAGCAGAGCTTTCTGAGGCCCTCTTCACTGCTCTGAAATACAGTCCTGTCTTCTCACCCACCGATTTCTTGCTCAGAAACAAAAGCAAGTGTTTGTATCCCTAGCTGCTACTTTGAGTGTTAAAACATGAGGATGTCACAGAACAGTATTTGCTACAACACAGCTAGAAAGAGCTGGAACCCTTTGGGACATATCCCAGTGGCACAGTCCCTCTGTGCAAGACGTTGTGGTTCTGGAGAGTTCTTCAGTGGCTTTTTTCTGTATCTCAGACTCATTGATGGAAATCATCAGCCTCATTAGATCAAACCATTAACACTTCTCTCTGCCCACAAACAGATGTCATAGCCTTGGGCCACAAGTTACACCAATCATTGGTTCTTAAACTAAAAATAACTATTCGATTGGCATAAAGAATAGCACAGACATATTTACATCAGGTCATGAATTTAGCTTAGTTATTCTCAGTGAGCATAACGTAATATTCTGGAGACAGCTCTGTATTAACTCAGGGCAAGATTTGATGGGGATTTTGAACCAGCTTAGTGAAATCAATTTGCAAAACATGCCTTCAGTTAAACCAGTTCAAGTTTGCACAGTTCATTAAATACCAATCATTTTTATGGCTAGTGTTCATCTGAAAATGGGCCTGGTGCAATCCAGCATGCTTTACTTACTCCTTTTCCTTCTGACACTTGCTCGAAGTGCAAGCTGAGAGTGATGCTGTTCTTAACTTCCTTTCAGTCCTGGAAAGCTGGATCTCTGAACTCCCCCCCAGACACCACTTTGCTCACTCACCTTGGGCCCAGAGGAAAGCAGAGCTGAGAACAGAGTCCTCCCAGACTGGAGGACTGGCCCAAGGACCTGCAGAATCCACAATGCACCCAAATCAGGAGAGAATGCAGAGGGGCTTTGGGGACCCCACAGCTTCATGGTTCCTGTGCCTCTGTGCTGCCAGCCCGTTGTGACTCTACAGCCATCACCCTCCTCCTGGGGATGGGCCCCTTGCCAGGAACTTTTCTCCAGGGCCAATGGCACCTTCCCCCCATTTCCTCCATGCTGACTATGAGCTGCACGTTTCAACAGCAGGCAGCATCAGGACAGCAGCTGTAGCACCAGCTGTTTGTTCAAAGGCCACTCACTGGCTTCAACATGTTACAGACCAGCCACTGTGTGAAGACACTGGTTCCTGTGGGGCTCCTGCAGAGTGTGTAAGACAACAGCCACATTTGGTCACTACTTCAGGAGAAGATGAAGACATCTCACCAGTGATTTAATGAAAAGGAAACCCAGGTACGGAGCCAGCAAGACCAAGGGGCCCATGCACAGTGCATGTGTGCAACCAAAGGCTACACTGGCTCTATGGCAAATGTTGGAGTGTTGGGGAGTTTCACTACAAAGCACCTTAATATCATCCTGCTGCACTGGGAAACCTGGAGTCTTTGAACACATCAGTTCATTACCTATTGTAACTTGCTGGTTACAGGGTACACTACAGTGAGCTCCGCACCTTCTTTATTACTGTAATTTGAACATATCTGCTTTTTCACTTAACACAGACAACTGTTGTTTCAGTGTCCCCTCAGGACATTATGTTCTCCAGAGAAAGGCCTGGGGACAAAGAGCATCTTTTGAAGGCTTTCATTACGTCTGTGCCGTATTTCTCACATCTGATAAGCCTATCTGTGAAATTCCAAAAGAGAGATGGTTATCTCCTCTTATACAAATAATTTATGCTAACGTTACTTTGATACAAACCTTCTGTGGTACATTTCTGTAAGCAAAGAACTCCTTAAGTGCTACCCTTGAGGAAATACTAGCATAATATTTCACATCTGTCTCATTTTGACTTTAATGAAGACTACTTATTTGTACCAGCTCTGCCCTTGTATCATTACAGTGAGTTTTTACTTTCAGAAAGCAGTTATAATTCTATTTACTAGTTACTTCAGTTACCACCTTGAATGCATTTCTCTTTGGAATCAGCAAAACACCAAGGATATTTTACATGAAAGAAACATTTATGTGATTTTGTCAAACAGTACAAAAGACATTTTGTGGATTTTTGCATTTGCTTAAGCCCTGTATATTTATATTTCTTGATAATACTCCAGAGTATGTGAGAAATTAACAGCTGTGCCTTGGAAATTGTAATAGCCTTTGCAGGCCAGACCCAGGTCAAGGCCCATAACCTTAGGCTGTCAGTCAGCAGCACACTGACCCTCTACTGAACCGTATTTCCACTGCCCCAGAACATTAATTCTCATTTATCCATAAGAAGGGACTATTTTGCAACGACAGAACAGACTGAAATTGGTGATCTTGGACTGGCAAGCTCTACCTAGGCAAGAGTCATGACCTACTAAGAGTCCTGCGCCATGAATGCAAGTGGCACTGCTCTTCCTACATATGAAAGGCCTGTAATGGAGGCTGTGACCCAAGAGGCTGGCTTGGTCTACAGTGTCTGCAGGCAGTAACAAAAAGGCTCACGGCAAGAGCAAACCCCACCTGCTGCACAACGGACCTCCCCTCAGATGCTTTGCTGCACAGAAAGAGCCAATGTGGTAAGGAAAGGACCAGAGCAGATGGTCTCTATAGGCCTGTGCCCTGGGCAGCTTTGCCTCTGGGGCTCACAGCAGGCTTGCGTAACTGAGCCCAGCGTGTAAGGGGATCACCACTGCACCCACAGCTACTGCCCTCACACAGCCTGAGGCAGGACACTCACAGCACACTGTGCTGGTGGCTGCACCAGGATGGCCTTTGCAGAGCAGCATAATATAGAGCAGGACCAAAGAGAGGTTTCTTTGTCTACTGCATTTGCTATACTTAGTTCATCGGCTGCTGTGGTCTTTAACCCTCTTTTTATTTTTTGTAACATGCAGATGGAACACCATGTTAAAAGGCAAAGGATAAAAAAATAAATAAATCTATGTCTTTGTCAGAAAATATCTATACTTCTCTACAAAACATGCATTAGATCAGTCTAGGCTAAGATTATCATAAGTCTTAGATCTCTGCATGTTGCTCATTCCAATGCAGAATCTAGGGCTAACCACAGTAGAGAGAGAAATAGCTGAGGACACAAAACACAAGAAGAATTTTAAGTATTCACCACTAAAATACAATATATATTAAAAATGCTGTCAGTGTTTACTGCTAAAGTCAAGAGCATCCCTGAATTTAGGCTTTGTTCTGTATTTCATGCTAAGTGCAACAATAAATATTGAGTTACAAGAATTTAGTTTGAAAGTTCAGAAATATTTAAGGTCCCTCAAAAGAGTTCAAAAATTACTCCTTAAACTAAATGGCCTTTCACAACATTCAGAATGCATTGAGGTTACTATTGAAAATCACAGAGTTAGCATAACTGCAAATCCTACTGCACAGAGTACCGTGTTTTAAGAAGTGGTTTATTAAAGAATAAATGCATTAAGAAACCTAGGTCAGGGGTTTGATGTGGAGCCACCTCTGGCTATTCTCACCTCTGTGGGCCAAGCCCAGCATGGGCAAAGCCCGGCATGGACCAAGCTTTAACAAACAGGAGCCACAGCTTCTCTGGCTCCTGGCAGGACTTCATCACCAAAAGGACACAGGGCTCAGACTCGCCCAGAGAGAATTTATGCAGTGACATCCACCAGGACTAGAAACTGCTCCAGCTGGGGGGATGGCTGATCTGCTTCAGAAGCACTTTCAAATCTTCGTTTATAGCCCAGATGCAATCACAGCCCCCATAAACCCTGGACAGGGAAAACATTTTGAGTTCAGCAGTTCATGCAGTATTATTGGCATCAGTTCCGCTCATTAATTAACACTCCCAAGCCTGAGAACGCAGTTTGTCTTTTACTTCCAGATGGGCCACAGAGAGGATGCACTACCATAGGTGGGATGCAGGCACTACTGTGGGTGGCATGTGGGGAGCATGGCTGGCTCTGCTCTCTGGGACCCTGTTGGGGCATGCGCAGCCCTTCAGGACAGGTCAGTCCATGCCGGGTGAATAGCCTGCCACACAAGGGTACTCACAAATTTACCTTGTCTCCCATTTTGCTTATTTGTAAAACAGATGAAAAGTCTGAAATGCTGGAGGAGCAGGAAAAGAAACAAGTTTTAGGTTCCCCCCCTCCTTGTTCAAGAAGTATTTAAGGCATGCTAATTCTTCCCTGATTTGCTAGAGGGTCTCTTGGGGCACACGAGAGTATTACTTTTCCCATTGCTTCCTCAGTAATTATACAGACTTTTATGACCAGAATTTCTCATCTAGGATACTAAACAGCAAAACCCCACACTTTCCTGCATCAGTCAAAGCTGTTCTTTATTTATCAAAGCAATATCCCTCCGAATCAAACAGGCCAACTCCTTCCTCCCCTCCTTGCAAAGCTCACATGACAGCAGCAAATGCTTTGGAGCAGTGGCTCAGCGTGGCAGCTGCAGCACCAACCACCTGCATCACTGATCACCCTTCAGGACTCCTGGCAAAGCCAGCCACGAAGGGTTGGAAAGGGAATCCTCCAGAAACGTTGTCCAACAGAAAGATGAGTAAATCCACCTCACAGACTTGCAAAACCCCTGAAAAATAGAAGTGCAGGTGACAACTGAAAAGGGAATATACAAAACACATTAAACTTTTCAAAGTGAGCAATGAAATAAAATTATCCCAATGAGGAACACTTGCATTTAAAAAAAACTGGTACATATACAATCAGTCAGAAAGGCTACTCTCCCAGAATACACTGCTTCTGACAAGACCTTAACTTGTTGGCTGATGTCACCACTAACGCCTAGGATAGTAAACTACAGCCAATCCTTACACTGTTTTTGTGCTAATGACCGAACCAAGATACTGGAGTTCCTGGCAAGCTTCCCATTTAATTCAATTAACTCTAACCAGGCCTGTGGTGATTGCACCAGTCAGCATAAGAGAAAGCCAGAAACTGGATCCCTGGATTCAGATGGTAAAAACCAAGAAAGTCTCCACTGTAACTTTTTAGTACAGTTACCAGCAGCCTAACCTGTTGTTACTGAGCAAACCAGCATCCAGAGAAGTTTTTATAAAACAATGTGGAAAACCATTATTTTTTTTTCCCGAAAACGTTCAACATTTACTGAGAAAAAATGGTAGCAACCTATTTCATTGTTTGGTGGGGGTTTGGTTTTGTTTTGTTTGGGTCTTTTGTGTTAGTTTATTCTAAAATGTTCTGTTACATGTCAGTTAAAGCAAATGTTATACTGCATCTCCTTGTAGGCTGTGTTAGAGCTGCAGAGCCTCCAGGAAGATCATGTTTCCCCTAATGCAATGCAGATGTCTTGATGCCAATCTGCGCAACACACCCTGGGAGCTGCTGACCTCTCCCTGGGGACCCTGACACTTGAAGAGATTTAAGTTCGTGAGGTATTAGCTAAAAAATGCAGCTTAACAGGGAAAAGACTTCAAGTGGAAACTGACTTTGAAGCCGGTTCCACAAACTGAATGCTATTGAGTCTGGGAATGTCAAAATGTTTCATTTAAATAAAAAAAGACATTCCTAACTCTTATTTGGAGTTTTATTCTCACAAAAAAAAAAAAAATTCCTTGGTTTTGAGATGAAACCAAATAGAATCTATGTAAATTCCTCATCAGACAGACACGCAATTTCATTCATCTCTAACTTAATTTAAAGATAATTTCCCTAGAACACAAGGTAATTTCTTCAGAACACAAACCACAGAAAACTTAAAGTGTCCAATATAGCTACAGAACCGAGGGGGTACAACACCAAGTCCCTCCTTCTCCAAACTCACAAAACATCCGACTCTGCTAACACTATTAGCTGCTTTCTACAAACTGTGAAGAGGAGGAGGAAACTGGACACTGAGGGTGGTGTTTGCACAGATGCAGCTCTCCAGCATATTTGGGTAGCAGGCCAGAACCAGAAGAACTTGAGGCCAAATCTGAGGAATGTATGAATATGATTGCTTTAGTGCAGACTTCTGTGAAACTTTGCAAGCCCGAACAGAAAGCTCTTAAGGCAGTTCGGCTGGTGGGGTAACTTGACTGGTGGGATGCTGTTAACTGTGGTGTGAGTGGAGGATGCCTTGCACAGCATGAGAACTTCTGTTACAACAGGCTGACCTAAACCCAAGAACGGAAATTAGCAGCCAGGGCCAGCAATGAAGTGTGATCCCCACAGGTCACTTCCAACAAGCAGTATATTTAGCAAGCCCAGGCTGTGGGGCACAGCATACCACTGCTCAGCAGACAGAAATTCTTGCCCTTGGCCAGGCTCATGAGGCTATCCTCTGCAGCTGCTTAGGGGCTGAACTCAGGGGCTGCTTTTGGCTGCTCCCTGCCCCTAGCAGCAGCAGTATAAGCAGAGGCTATGCAGCAGCACAGCTCCATGCTGTCAGCTTCTCTCACAGAAATCCTGACATACAGCATCCTCGTAATACTTAAATGAAACATGGTGATGTTTCTTGTGAAAGTGCTGACCGCTGACAACTGTCAGTTCAAGCTTAGGGAAACGTGAGGAAGGGTTTCAGTTTAGTACCTTGGAATTCTGATGAATATGAAAAGTAAATTAACCAGGGAAAATTAAGCTGCAATAACAAATTGGTGTATCCCCTCAGCTGACACCATTTCCAGGTCTGTGTGATAGTTTACAAAAATTAAGAAAAAAGGAAAAAAAAGAAAAAAGAAAAGATTAATACTTCCCAAACATTTTCCTTTTACTTTTGAACGTTCTTCTACTGTAAGCCCCAACGGGCTGCAACATATTTGCCCACTCACATTATTTAGTTAAGAAGTTCTGAAACAGAGATTTGCGTAGATGTTTCCTCAGTGGCGCTTTTGAAGTGTTATGTCTGAGATAGATGGTAAAAACCCTAGAAGTCTGTATAGTGCCAACATAAATAGTGTATTTAAGGATGGGGGATTATCCATTCCTTGACAGGGCTGTGCTATATACCACTAGCTGTCATACAAAGTCTGCTGTCAGTTGCTAGCAGCAATTTTGTTTGAAATTGAGTCCAGCACAAATAATGCTCAGATAGGCTTTTCTCCAGGAAAACAAAGCCTTCAGACCTTAAAAAGGAACTCTAAAGACTCATAGGTGGCCACCATCTTGGACATACCTCAGAAACAGCATGAGTCAGCAGAGATTATTGAAGCTTCAGAAAGTTTTGTTTTCTTTGTGGAAAGCCTGTTCTGGCATTCCTGTCATCTTCTGGCCTGTGTGTGGATCCTCTAGAATGACTGAGAGTATAACAGGGAAGCCAAAAATCTGTGTTAACAGTTAACATAATGCTGTGTTCCTACTTGCAAATTCACTGGAGAATAACGATTCTTTGCAAATATAGCTCAACTGCTCTAGGTCAGCAGCCAGTCTTTGAAGTTAGGAAACCAATGCTGTGGGTCCAGCTCATTGAATATATGTTTAAATAAACCACTATGTTTCATGGAAGTTTTCCCCATCCCACAGCTCCGATGGACAGAGTTGCCAAGCATCCCTGGCAGGGATGCTAGGCATTTGTCTCCCATGCACTCCCATCTACACACTCAGCATCTTCCAGAAAGGAATAAACCTCTGTACTGCACTTTAATACCTGACCATGTCCAGGTATTTTCTCAATGGCCCCAGTTACCCCATCAAGCATCACTTCAATACTAAAGATCCATAAGGGATAACATAGGGAAGGTTAGAGCCATATAAGTACCTGCAAGCAGATGTAACACTGTGAAGCACAGTTACAGCTGAAATTTCCACCTTCGGCAGTGCTGACTGCTCTTTGTCAGGCCAGGCTCATGTGCTGCTGTGGCCATGCTGCAATCCAGAGCGGGCCTGCATGGAGCAAAGTACATTATGCTCAGAAGAGCACCACGCTCTGCTGGGACTGCACCAGCAGCAGGACAAGGCTGAACCTGCTGCTGCCCTTTGTTCTGACACCTTGTGCCCAGCATGTCCAAGGGACACTCAGTGGAAACCCATGGGCAGCTGCTGCCCAAGGAACACTTCTGTCCTTTTTGCTGCTCACAGGTATGGGGCCAGAGCAGCACATTTCTGCAACACCCCGAAATTTGCAGACACCCTGTTTTTGATTTGTGAGCTAGAGAACTCTAATGTGTTAAGTAAACCTTTATCTTTTACCAGATAGGGGGTCAGCTGAGGCGGTATCGTGCCTGAGCAGGGCTGGTCCTGTGTGGATCATGGTGGGGCAGCAGTGGGGAAAAAAAATAAATCCAAAACCAAAAAACCAACCAAACAAAAAATCCCACCCTAAAAAGAAACCAAAACAAAACAGCCCCCCCCCCCCCCCCCAACCCAACACCCCTAAGGAAATACCTACAACAAACCCAGCATAAAAACCCCAAGCCTTTTAAAGCATTTCCACATGCTATCCTGATATTCCTGTGGGGTGTCAGGTCATAGGAACTAGACAATCCAGTCATAACAGCTGAGGAGCCACATCTAGAACCGCATCACCTGCTTCACAGAAAGAGCTGACAATGGCATTAGCATGAAACTAAAATTAGAGGCTTGAGCACTGCAGTCACTGAAACTGATGACAGTTCAGCAATTCATATCCCTGATTTTTCTTGACTCAAATAACCATAAAATCAGCTCCCATTCATGCTTCTCCCTGCTCCTCAAGGAAAAGCCCTGGTAAGCCTGGCATGCCTTGCACACAGGGAGCTCACCTGACACTTCTGCCAGGGCTTTTAACATTCCCAGCAATTAAAGTGTGGGGAACAAACTCGAAAAGAGATTATGTGTTCACAAATCAGCATTGTTTTACAAAAATGCCAGGGCATGGGAGCCATCATTAACCATCACCCATGCATGAATACTTATGAGACACAGTAGATTAGAAATGGACAAATAAAAACACATGCAGAAGAAGGACAAAAGATCAGGAGAGAGAAGACTGGAGAGAAGTGAGGCTGTCAGATGCTGAATCTCCTCTGCACTGGAGCTGAAGGATGTTACTAGTGCAGAGTTTGCCTCATCGTTTAGAAAGAGCTATTTCTTCGTTTGCTTGAACCATTCAGAAATAAGAATTCAAGACTTGGAGAGAAGGACTAGGTGGCTGGATGCATGTCTGTGAGTACATACATTAGGTGTGCAGTGGAAGAGCCTCATCAGCTGTCCTGCTGCCAAGGCTAAAATGGGATTCTGACTCCAAGCCCTCTACTCAGTAGGACAGCTAGCTCAGTTCTACATTCTCCCTCAAGCAGCAACTTGGTTTATACACTAGCTCTAGAAGTGACTTCCTTTGTTTGTATTAATATTTCTGGGACGCAGTTCTGCTTCATTGGAGCCAAGTGGAAATTCAAGACAAAAAAAAACCCAACTGATTCCTGTTGTTCTTGGATAATTTCATACTATTAATTCTTCATGTAATAACAAAGAGTTACTATATAGTCTGAAAGACAATGAGAATAGATTTACAATAACATTATTGTCAAAACTACTTCCTTCAAGTGGGTTGTGCTTAGATATAGACAAATTTCCCATTTTGTTGCTACCACTTGCTCATGCGGTGCCCACAGCTGCAGGGCAAGAGTGCAGCATGGACCCAATTATGAGACGCAATTGTGAAATGTCACTTGGTCCTACGTGCAGGTAAGTCTGAAGCGATGTCAGGCTTGTGCTGTTCCTAGAATACTAGGGAGTTGCTAATATTAACAGCTAAGGAAGAGAAAACATCTCCTGCTAAACACCAGATCAAGGTGTCAGAGTGGAAAACAGGCCCAGCCTCTGTGAGCACGCTTTGTAAATAGATCAGAAGATGTTCTTTTAAGGTGCGCAACAAAATTTGTTGAAAGGAACGTGAGCCTTTCCACTGACCTCACTAGGGTGTGTCACACACTTTAGGCAGAGAAAAGTGCACCCTATTTAATCATACATTTACTTACAATATGAGGGGGCTGTTCTTTAAGACCCAGAACAAGAGACTGAACATATTGCCATTACAGCTGCAAAGTCATTGCACTGAAACAATTGCTCTGTCCTGATCTCAGAGAAAATGTGATTAAGACCTGCTGTGAAGTATATGGCAGCGCACAGACTCTTGAAGGCTTTCACTGCAAGGACTCTGTGCATGCCCTTCTGCCTGTGGTGTGCTCACCTGCAATTTGTCAAGCTTGCATTGGAGTTTCTGATCCAGAAATACATCTCCTCATGGTGGTACATTTGGAAAAGCCACAACATGCTACCGCCTACGCTGGCAACTGAAGCCTCTGATCATTGACAGTATTGAGTTTCCAAACCAGTCCCTCTTCCGTTCTTTTATCAGCATCTGGCTTGCTTTAGGTCTGGACAGCAATTTCATTTGCACCTTCTGGTCCAGATGTTGCCTGTGGCTTCTTGCAAGAATCTCCCAATTCTGCTGCAACCCATGTGGAAGGAAGGAGCATGGTATAAGTTGTGTTCTTCACCTCAACTGCCATAAAGACCTGGGCATGGCTGGGCTCCTCTGGTGCTGCTCTGCTCCTGTGAGCAGCTATGTAATTAGGTGCAGTCACACAGCTCACTGCAGCTGGTTGGTCTCTCCTCCTCCCTTCTTCCTACACTTGCTGCAGGCATGAAATGTTCCCAGGTTCCCACAGTCATCCCCTGAGGTATGCCAAGCCCATATGTTGCTGTCCCCTTTCACACACATTACAAAAGAGCCAAAAAATTCGCTCCTTGGAGATACACTTCTTTGTGCACAGTCCACCCAGCAGAATGAAGAAACCTAGCCAAGATGGCCACAAAACCATGTTGTTGCTTAGTAAGACTTCACTTAACAGTGTCATGAAGTTTATTATTTTGAGGTAAAGTAATATAACCTGCCATATTTTCAACATAACTTGCCTACTTAAGTACAACTGATTTATAGTCTTTTGCTTTAAAATTCTCAGTTTGCCAGGAATAAAAATGTCTTATATTTTACTGCAGACATCCGTTCATTCCCCATTTTTATCAGCATTTAGGACTATGATCAGAAGACTCTGACTTTACTCTAAAAATCAACTATATTACAAGCAATCAGGTACCTGTATTAAAAGTCCACAGTTTACAGCTGTTCTTGGCTGCTCCAGGTAGCTAATGCTGCTGGAAACATCTGCTCTGTTCGGGCATCCAGAGGGGAACATGATGTTTCACTGTCACTGCCGGCACTTTTCCGGTGCCCCGCTCCCCCTCTGTGGGCTGTGCAGGTCCATCAGCCGCTGAGCCCAGCTCTTCACATGACATTGGGGTCTGTCCCTGAGGAGAGCACTATCCAGTGGACTCAGGCTTTATTTAAAGCTGGCTGTAAAACATACACCACTGATCAGCATGTATTTTAAACACCAGACTTTTTTGAACTATGCTCCCAACCGACAGGTTTTAAGGTAACATCACATGTGTCAGTATCACAAATGATCACTACTTTAATATCAAAATACTTCCCTTCATTACGCATCATCTGCAGAGTTGTCACATGCAGGAAGACATCTGAAACAACTCTCTAGGATGCCAATACAGAATCAGCATAAAAACTGCTCTTTGAATGAAAGCTTAGGCTTCTGGCTGGAAACATCTCCCAAGCAGCAGCAATTGCAGCTCACGTCACAACATTCTCCACAACAACAGCTAAAGATCCCCATTTCAAAAGCGACTGGATGTTACAGTGCAAAGCTAAACACTCATTCATGGCTGTGATAGCCTTGTGGGGCTCATCTCCCTTCCTGTCTCTTAACGTACATGAATTATCCTCCCAAATAGCTACTTTTCTATCAACAATATGCATAACATCTTTCAAAAGGCAAAATGGAAATCCCTGCAAGTATTTCTGGTGCTGCTTCCAGCCAGAAATAGCAGTAATCTGATCCACAAGTGAATTCCGTTTCTGTTGATGAATTCCTTTGTACAAATATCTCTGCTTTGAAAAGGTTTGGCAACAGCAAGGCACAAGCTAATTTTACTTATAAGGTGTGACTCAAAGAAGATCTGCAAGTTTCAGAATCACAGAAAGTAAGCGTCTGTGGCCTCTTACCAGCTCTGTCAAGAGAAAACATCACAGTTCAGCTATTTTAGATGCAAAAATCAGACCTACTTGCTGCAGCCCTGCAGATCCCCACCTCCCACCACCCTCACGCTCTCCCCAAGCACAGCAACATGGCCAAATCCAGAGTCTTGTCTTCCAGCCCCATTCAAACCCTCTGTTGTTAACAGGCTACATTACCATGGGCAAAATTTAGCCTGCAGTGTTAGAAAGTAGAGTAAATCATTAATTTGGGAAAATCCAGAAAATGCTTTGTGAAAGAAACAGGTGACCAAGGAAATGGTGAGCCACTCTCCGCATTGCACAGTGCCAAAACCCCGGGAAGCTTAGAGACTAAGATACAAAGACTTCTGCAGTAGAAGTGAACCTTCAGGGGCTGTGTAGTGCCTATGGCCTGGTCCCCTGCACTGTAAGAGAAGGCCTATGATCAGTTAATATCTCTGTGTTCTTTTGCTGCTGAGAGAGCTCCCACCCAAGGTAAGGTTGTTCTGAGGATGGGGACAGCTCTGCCACACTGGCTGCAGCAGCCCTGGGGAACATGCAGTTGGCCTGCCTGCTTCTGCAGTCCCTGGGAACAGGCACTGCCACCCCACAGAGTTTGCCAGGCTGCTGGGGCCAGAGCTGCTGTGAGCACTCCTCTAACATTTCCATCTCTTCATTCACTGCTACGACAGACTCGATCCCCTCCAGCCCTGCAGGAACAATGTTGAGGGCTGGAAGGCTTCAATGTCTTTCCAGTACCACCAATTCATTGCTCTCCAGCCTCTCAAAGAGCATTTTAGCACCGTGCCTCAGTTCATGGGTGAACACCACCACATCTTCCTCTTTCTTAAAAGGGGTCTTGAGGGTTTACAGATGTCAGGCATGGTATAAAAATTAAACAGCATTGTTTGAAGGAATGAAGGATCCTCCATCTCCCAGCAGTTTGTGGGATCTGGCCATTGAATATATTGGGTGAATTCTCCCATAAAATTCAGTATCAGGCATGCTTAATCTTGCTTCATCATTTTTGTACACTGCTGCTCTGCAGCCTGACAGTTCATCTTCTACACAGCTCCATTTGTCAAACCAAATTGTTCCCTGACAGTCTGCAGAGACATATATTTGCCATCTGCAATCTATTCCTCGGTTTCTGGCACATATTTTCAGTGCTTTCTTTTGAAAGCTGTTTCAGATTTCCATGGGCTTCTTCATAACCTCTGCTAGCAAAGCCTCACACAGTCTAATTGTTGACAGCTGTGTCATGAGAAGTATTTTATGTTTCTTCTGTTGTTCCTCTTGCTGTATGCATAGAAGTTGCTACATTAAGAGCTTCTGAGCTGTGCAACATGTACCAAGATGTGGAAAGACAGTATCTTCCGAGAGTGGGTTAGAGGGATTTAGTTTGTTACAGCTTTACAGAAATAGTTGCAGCTCTATACAGTAAAATATTGACAAGTAAAAGGCATTTGAGCAAACGCATGAAGCTCTGAAGTTTCAGATTATTGGTAAGCAAGTACAGAGTTAGTGTTAATGACTGTAAGATGCTCAGAGAGCTATGGATCATTTCACAAAATAAAATCCGAAGTTATTAGCACATTTGTCAGAGCTAGGAAAACTTGCGAAGTTGTATTCTCCTGCTGAAGCTCCAAGGACCAGCAGGGTCCATCTCTCTGACAAAGGCACCTGTGTCACGTTGGCTACGACCAAGCCAGCAGTCAGGCTGGTTATAAGAGTAGGCCAAAGGCTGTGGGACCTCTGCTCATACCCAGCTGTAGCACTAACAAGAAAGCAGCCACAGCTGTACTTCCAGCCCAGAAGCAGAAGAATCTGGTACAGGCAGTGTCGGTGCCTCTCTGATCCAACATTCAACCGTGACTTGTGATACATCCTGCGTCCATGGTAAGTCTCATTCCAAAGTAGTCAAGACACATACCTAGATGCAAAAACTTCTTTATGTATAGCAAAGGCCAGCATTAATAAAACATTTAGGTCAGGGACACTGAGTACCCTATACTTGCATGTTTCACTCAGTACCATCCCACATGAGAAGTACTAGGCTGGAAAAAAAACTAAATCTCTCCTTTTCTTTTAGAGTTTACATTTCAGTTTCATGTTAAGAAAAATCCAGTAAAAACAAACAACAACAACCAAAAAAAACCACAAACAAACAAAGGACATACCCCAACCCCTCAAATAAAAATCACTGTTGCTTTTTTTTTTCCCCTCAAAGCAGAGAAGGGACTGCAAGTATCAGCAGAATGATACAGAGATGCAAGGTTGTGGTACTACTATGAAAGATGGAAAACGCTGAGGACTAGACTGTTCTCTCTCTTCTGCAAGGCTGAACACAAATCTGAAACATCTGTTCACACAACTTGAAATGAGCTCTCAGCAAGTAACATAAGCACAAACTCTTCCTGACATCAGTGCAGAACAGCTATCAGCTAAGCTTTTTGTGGAAATCTAAGAATCCAGACACTTTATGTTGCCTGCAAGCACAGAATAACAATGCATTTTTACTACCAGCATATCATTTGCAGCAAAAAATTAGTACTTTTTAAAAGTATTCTAAATCCTGAAATCTTTGGGGTTTTTTTCTAGAACTAAACTGTACACACTCTGCTTTAGGAACTACTCAAACTGGTCAGTAATTGCTATATATATATATAACATATAGCTCAGGTCAGCACAACTGGTGCTTGAGCATAGAATGGTTTGGGTTGGAAGGGACCTTAAAGCTCATCTAGTTCCAACCTTCCTGCCACGGGCAGGGACACCTTTCTGCTAGACAGGTTGCTCAAAGCCATGTCCAACCTGGCTTTGAACACTTTTGGGGATGGGGCAGCTACAACTTCTCTGGGCAATCTGCTCCCCTATCAAAAGCATTACCCAATGGGCAGAGAGCACGATTTCAGCTGAAGGTACTGGAGGACAGAAGTCATTTGCAGAACTTGCATCCAGACCTCAGTTCAGGGCTCACATTTCTTGTTGCATCTCCAGATTTGGTAGGAGAGGGTGCTCCTTTTTTTTGTGCATTTTTTGCAGGGTTCAATTCTCATAAATGCCCACCTATACTTATGGAATAAATATTTTTTTTAGCAATATGAGATACACTAACAAAAGTACAGTGGCAGATCAAGCAAAAAAGTGCAGAACTATGTGCTATACACACCTTTTCCCTGCTTCTGCAGCTCCAAAGCAAGTGTTGCCTGCAGCTCTCCAAGAAACCTCTGCATTCAATACATTTTAAAGAATGAACCCCCTCCTGTTAACTATACATTGGGGTCAGTTTCTGGTTCTACTCCTAATTCTATATGTGCATGTAAAAGCCACTTCGTTTCCATGCTGTTGTTCTCAAATCCTTTGTTTGCCTTGCCTCTTCAGCAATGGCTAAGTAGGGATTGTCAGATTGTCCCCAGCTATGTATCTGCACAGTATCCAAGGCAGGGAACTGGATTTGAAACGGAGGACTCTAAAAGCCACAGGAAGAAGGGAGGGGAAGAAACAATAAAAAAATAAAAAAAATAGTAGTACATGGTACCCACTAGCTTTCCAGTGGTGTTGGGGGAAGGCCATGCCAGTTATTTTTGCCTTCCCTCCGTACAACAGTAGATGGAGCTCTCCTTTCACCAGCTTCAGGAGTCCATTAATGCCTGCAGTACTACAAATTCGAGCACTGTAATTATTCTGTCAGCACCTGCTAGGGCTGCTACATTTGACCGATCTGTGGTGGCTACAAAGGGGGGAACTCGGGCTCCACAGCTGTCTGCTCGACATCACCCAGCAGCATGAAATTCTCCAAAACTTGTAAATGACAAAAATCTTTGATTAACCACAGTACTGCCTTTCCTTCCGGTTAGGCATTGTGTAATGTGCTTCCTTTGTAAATTTTTACCAGGATTACACGGAATTCCATATAGTTTGGAAAATGACATGGCATGCTTTATTTCTCTTGCAAAATAAGGAATGAGAGATTGTGCTTGTCACATTGAGAGATCATATATAAAAATCTTATCATACCTGTGAGTACTGAAGACTGCATTATCCAGAGGATTTTACAGGCACTAAAGGTCAAGGGATCTGTGGCCAGTTTCTCAACAACTGCCTGCAGACCTAACACCTACAGTCTCTATTTAACAGCAGGACAGGGGCTGAGGGATGAAGGGCAACATTGGCATTTACTTGCATCTCTGCAAGCTGTGAGAAATTACAAATGCAGATGTTGATTTTCTCTCTTCCCACCCCATCTTTATGTGCTGCTGCAAGTGACTCCAATAAAACCCTGCACAGATGCAGAAGGTCTTTGTGATGTTGTGCACCACAGGACCAGAACTACAGCTGCAATTTCCTCAAGACATATCAGCCAGATTTTCTGCAACAAGAGCTGACAAATTAAATACTGCAGATAAGTGAGAACAAAGTTAGGCTGCTCCCTCTTGTTCTGTTTGGTTCTTTGGGTTTTTTTTCCCCGAGGGGGGGTGTGATGTGTGTGTGTTGGTTTTTTGTTGGTTGTGGTTTTGGTTGCCTTTTTAATGTACCATGCACATCCTGCCTCATTCTGCTAAAAATCCAAATGCAGGCTTGACTTTAAAGAGTAATCACATGCTACTGACTGCCAGGGAAGGATATCTTCAAAGCCAATGTACAACTTGTTATTCTTTGGAAACAGGCACTGCAATATAAGCAATATATAAAAACATATTCCGACCTTTTTTTAGATTCTTTGAAGAAGACTTCATGTTACGCAAGTAGGCAAGCCAAGAATATTGTAGAGTTACATGAGATGCTGGAGATGATATTTGCCAGCAAGGTAATTCAATATACATCTATTCTTGCATTCAATAATTAAAGAGAGGCCCCCAGCAGTGAATCGATGGGTGATTATCTCACAGCCTCAGATACCTCAGCCACCAGAGAAGTGCCAGCACCTGCACACAGGCACTGGCAACTGTGCACCACATCTTCACAGGCAGGTACTGAAACACAAGCAGGCAGTATTTTCAGAACTGATTTTTCATCTCTCTGAATAGAAGTTAACAGAGCAAGAGAGA